CCACCTAAGCAGAAAAAAAAGCCAGAAGTGGCGCTGTGGCTCAAGTGGTAGAGCGCCAGCCTTGAGCTGAAGAGCTGAGGCCCAGAGTTCAGCTCCCATGACCCACAACATAAAAAAGAAATATGGGTTAAACTCTTACTACTAAACTCAGTAAGGAAGATGATTTAAATACAAGGCTAATTTTATTATTAAAATGAAAAGGAGCATCAAGTTGGTCGTTCTGTTGGGTGGTGTCAACTTTTAGACACAATTTTGGTCAGATCGAGAATCCAGTGTAGTAAGTGATGCTGGAAAGGGCAGAGATTATTTGCTCCCCGTGCATCTGGAACTGAGTGCTTTGTAAGACAGCATAAGCATACCCTTAAGAGAGCAGGACAGATGCGGGGAGCTGGAGGTAAGGCTGTAGGCACTAAGGACTCTATCTGAGCACTAAGTGCTGTCTTGAGGTAAGGCCTCATCTACGGGAGCACCATTACTCTCCAGCTGAAGATCAGTGTGAAGACTGGACTCATCAAAAGTGAAGCTTTATGCCGCCCGGGGCGGGGCAGCGTGGGGGCGGCGGCAGCAGATCTGCCAGTCCGGCCGCCTTGCAGTTGCTGCCGCCTCTGCCGACTTCTCTCCCCCCCCATTGAACAGGCAGCTGTGCTGCGTTCGAGCCCGCTGGGCTCCGTTAAACGGTCAGCGCCAACGGTCCATCCTTCCTTCCACCGGCAGGGGCCGGGCCACAGGGACCCCCCCCCCCCCCCGCTGCCCGGAGTGGTTTCTTTTCTGTTATTAGGGTGACACACCCTGTGATGGTCACATCCCTGGAGACACTGCCCAGCTGCCAAGTGGTTACAGGGGAGCTGAGGGTAGGAGGAGAGGGTGACACAGGTACCATACTGGTACATGGTCACCAGTTCTGGCAACAACATGACTATTGGTCTGGAAGAGAATGAAGCAGGAGAGATGGTACCTGAAGATGTCACTGAAAGTGATATTTTATCTGATTCCACAGTACTTGACCAAGTTGATATCAATGAAAAGGTACCACTGCATCCACCACAAAATGGCAAGATGGCCCTTCCACAGAGAAAGCTCGCGCTTGCTTTAATACACTAAAGAATAGAGTGGGGGAGACGTTGGAGACACGGACTCGCGAGACCCTTCCTGAGGATTTGTACGAAGTGTTATACGAAGTGCTGTGAGCTAGATCAGGAAGGAGAAAGCTCTTGCATAAGTTCTGGCAACCACTCTCAAGCGGGAACGGGGCAAACTCTTTGTGAATCTGATACTCTCCCTGCCTCTTCCCAATGGTGCCACAAACAACCCCTCCACACTTCTCCTATGGGTAAAACATTTGTGCCTTGTCTATCTTTTGTCACCCTTTGACCTCATATATATCTTACAACCTTTTGGCCTGGCCTATCCCCTGTAACCTTTTGGCTCATTTATCTCCTGTAAACTTTTGGCCTTGTGAACCTGTCACATGCCCACTGACTTAAGATTTACTATCTTTGTGTGTATGCCACATATTAGTAGGTAGCAGCTTCCCTTATTACAGTTTGTCCATATCTGCATAGTGTGGTCTGCTCCCTGCCTACCAGGCACTGTATTCCCAGGTTTCACTGAGGAATCAGCACAGCTTCTAAATCCAGTGAAAGTTGCTTTTGCTGGGCCTGTGAAATAAAGCTGAGTACCCAACCCTTCGACTCTGCATCTGCATCCTTTGATCTCAGCCATTCCCTCCTGCAGTCATTTCACAATCACCCAGGGATCCAGAAAAAACAAGATCCACGATAAGCACCTTGTGACAAAAGGCAGACTGCTTATTTTGGCAGCAAAATTGCAATTACCAATTTAAAAAAAAAAATTGAACTTTATTCTTAACTTCTGCCTTACTAGCCATAGATATGACATTCTTATTTCTTCTAGGTGAAGAATCTTACAATCCACAGCATTTTCATATAAGATTGTGATCGATGATCATGTTTTTAACCTAGAGTAAGTTTTGTGCCACACTGTCAGAAGAGTACTAAATTCATTAGGCTTGAATTTTGGAACTATTTTGAATCACCTACATATCTAATATGTGAAATCAGAGATGATTCTGTTCTCCAAAGACATTGTTGATTGGTTGGCCATGGATGCTCAGAATAACATTTGAAAGGAAATGTGACTCAAAAGACCACACTGACAAAAGTCATATAGAGGAGAAAGATTGATTTCCAGCAGACCTGACAAGTCTAAGGTCTCACAAAGAGAGGAGAAAATGACACTGACCTGCTCGTTGAAGGGCCTTTAGTCAAGGGGCCAGAGCGGGGGCCTCACCTAGGGAGCAGGCACTGCCATCAGTGGCAGAGATTGGATGATTGAAAATAAATACTGAAGGGCTAGCAGAGGATTCATGCTGCTAGTCAGCAGTATTCAGATTTTTATTTTTTGTCAGTTGTGGGGCTTGAACTCTGGGCCTGGATGCTGTCCCTCAGCTCTTCAGCTCAAGGTGAGCACTCTACCACTTGAGCCACAGTGCCACTTCTGGTTTTCTCAGTGGTTTATTGGAGGTAAGAGTCTCACGGACTTTTCTGTTTTCTGCCCAAGCTGGCTTTGAATGGCGATCCTCAGATCTCAGCCTCTTGAGTAGCTAGGATTACAGGCCTGAGCCACTGACACCCAGCTGATGCTCAATTTCTTACTTGAAGTCTTACAAATTATTTGCCTGGCCATAAGCCATAATCTTCCTCATTGCCACTACGTGAATAGCTAGGATTTTTTATAGTGTGACCCACCATATCTGGCTTTCTCTTTTGTTTGAGACAGGCTTTCCTTATGGTGCACAAGCTAGTATCAAACTTGTGATCCTCCTGCCTCAGCTCCTTGCATGCTGTGATGACGATGATGACTATCACACATATCTCTTCACCCTTTAGGGGGGAGGGGAGGAAGGTTATTTTCTTGCTATTTTGTTGAGTTCCTTAAATCTTTTTGGATATTCCATGGGTCATATTTTGCTGTTTTTAATTGACTTACCTGTGCATTTTGTATTTTCTCTCATGTGTTTAATTTTGCTTTTATTGTCACTGCTTTTAAACAATTTATATCCAAAAACTCTTTACCCCAGATGAGTATTACAAAGTGATTCCCCATTATTTTCTTCTACTAGTTTTATTTTTTTTGGGTCCGGTCGTGGGGCCTGAACTCTGGGCCTGGGCACTGTCCCTCAGCTCTTCAGCTCAAGGTTAGTGCTCTACCACTTGAGCCACAGGGCCACTTATGGCCTTTTTCTTATGTGGTGCTGAGGAGTCGAACCCAGGGCCTCACGCATGCAAGGCAAGCGCTCTACCACTGAGCCACCTTCCCAGCCCCAAGAAATTTTTTATATTCACTTATTTTACAAGAAAAGCTCTAAGCTCCACACCAAAATAATTGCTTTTGCAGATTTGAATCAATAGGTGTCTATTTAATTGGCCTGTTATCCAATTTTTTTTTAATTCTCACAAAAATAGGGAACAAAGAAAGCTATTTTATTCAATTATTTACAGAAAATATGTGTACATGAATTTCATAGACTAAAATGGCTATTACATAAAATATTGCTTTATAATTAATATTCATAATATGCATTTTACCTGTATGAAAATTTTTTTGGCCATGGCATGGGGGCTTGAACGCAGAACTCATACATTTACTCAGCTTTATTGACACTCTACCCACTTGAGCCATAGCTCCAGTTCTGGCTTTCTGCTAGTGAACTAGAAATGAGGGTCTCTTGGTTTTACCTGCCTGAGTTGACTTTAAACTGAGATTCTCAGAGCAGCTAGAATTTTAGGTGTGAGCCACCAGTGCCCAGCTTGTATGAATGAAATTTAAGGAGGAAAACAAGGTCTTTGCTGAGTACCCTAGGTCCCTAAAAGAGAATAGTAGAGTCTTGGATTTGGTTTCTCCCAGAGCAATTCCACTCCCGTCACTGCATAGCTTATTAAGAAAATGCACAAAACTGTTAAGTGCTAGAACCACATTCACACTCTCCTTGAAAGGAGCCATAATAAACACTTCTTTTTCTAAAAGGCCAAATTAGGTTAGTTCAACAAGAGCCAATCACATGACTCCAATTGTAAGCTATTATTTTCTCAAAAATAGTGTAATAATAGATTTGCTCAAATTTAGATTGTTTTTTTTAAGTATATATTTGTAAAGGGGGAAAAATCATATTGTCAGTCATGATTTGTTTTGTGCTCTATATTCTAATTTTAATATAATAATTTCAGTAAGATTTAGCCCACAGACTTTTTGTATGTGGTGCTTGGGATGAAACCCAGGGATTTCAACTAAACTATAGCCCTAGTTCCTAAAAAATTTTTCTTTTCTTTTTCCTTCCTTCCTTCCTCCCTCCTTCCCTCCCTCTCTCTTTCTCTTTCTTTTTTATTTGTGAGGTTTTTGGAAACAAGGTCTGGCTCTCTAGCGCAATCTGGCATTTAACTTCTGATCCTCATGCCTCTGCTGGGATTATAGGCACGCACCAACACATCCAGCCTCCCCAAAGATGAAAAAAACAAAATTACAACAAGTACATTAAGTTGTAAAAAGCTATCATCCATCACCTTTATAGTAACAATAAAAAAGCCAGGCACCAGTAGTTTGTAATCCTAGCTACTCAGGAGGCTGAGATCTGAGGCTAACAGTTCAAAGCTAGGCCTGGCAGATTCTTATCTGCAATTAATCACAGAAAAAGCCAGACGTGGTGCTGTTAGTCAAAAGGTAGAGTGCTAGCCTTGAGCAAAAGGAGCTTAGAACCAGCACCCAGGCCCAGGGTTCAAGGTCCAGGACTGGCAAAAAAAACATTTTTTTTTTAAAAAGCTATCATTAGTCAGGTGCTAGAGGCTCATGCCTGTAATCACAGCTACTCAGAATTTTGAGAGCTGAGGATGACAGCCCAGGCAGGTAATTCTGTAAGACTCTTGCCTCCAATAACCAGCAAAAACCCAAAAGTGAAATTGTGGCTCAAGTGCTAAGAGTGCTAGTCTTGAGCTCAGGGATTGAGCACACAGGTCCTGAGTTCAAGCTCCATACTGACACACACAAAAGAAACACTTCATTAAGAAACAGACATCCAAAACTGGAGTAAAAACAGGTTTTCAATTCTCTCAGTGAAATATTTCACACATGGGGCCCAGCCCTGTCCCTGGAAACGGCATCCTTCGTAGGAAGTTTTCCTCATATAAAATGAAAAATCCCCAAGTTAACCACTTAAGAGCTGCTTATACACAAGTACATATATACAAAAAAATCCACTGCTGCTGCTTTTTTGTACTACTGGAGTGATGTTTTCAAATATTTGGTGAAATCCAAAGAGGAGGGAGCAGGAAGTTCATTGCAGTATTTTTTGATTAGCTGATTTAAATCTTCATTCAAAAATGGAGTCCCTTGTAAAACCTTATCCTGAAAAAAGGTTAAAATACCATAAGTTAAAACTAAACTGTGAGCAAGAGCTAATATCAACTGGTGAAATGCAGTCATGAGCAATGTGTGTCAGGTCTTGGTCATACTCTATACAATTTATAGACCACTTCTATAGAACCCTAACCTCAAACTTCCATCCTACCATCTACGAATCAAGCACGATAAAGCAAGCAAGCAGTAAAGTTACTGAGACATCCTAGTGTAGTTTTTATTTCTTCTTTTAAAAAAATGAAAAGTATCACATACCTTCTTTTTGGAGTATGAAGACTCAACAGGAGGATTGAATGTCATTGTTGCCATACTATAAGCCTCAAAAAGTTCAACTGCAGATCTACAATCACAAGTAAGAATTGTAGAAAAATCTTATCTGTTCAATTTAAGATAGAGTATAGCCAAAAAATGAAACAGAACCAATTAACTCACTTGAAATAAATCTTACGTTCCTCCGCAATTCAACTATGCTATTAAATCCAATTACATTTAGAAATGAAGGTCTACAGCCCAAAGAGAAAGGTACAGAGAAACACCAAACAAAAATCCTAACTCAACTATAGTTATGTGAATGATAAACACCCAAGTCTAAAGTCACTGGAGCTGGAGGAATGAAGCATGGAGTCAGTTTCCATGGGCTTCAAGCACCATTCAGCTGATCAGCTAGGAGTCTCGATGAAAAACAAGAAGTAATTCAAGACAGAGAATCTGCCTATACTCGTGGCATACTAGTGAATATTTCATGATCTGGAGTTAGCTCACATTTGCCCAGGCAGATAGGGGCTGTGACTAGACTCACGCTCTAAGTTCCATTCCCCAGAAGAACGAATCTTAGGATAAACCCATTCCTCCCCATCTTCCAGAAAAGGAAAACTGCTATAAAAGAGGCAAACACAGGCAGCAGGTGTAGCGCAAGTGCTGAGTACTTGCATCTCAAACATGAGTTCCTTAGTTCAAAGTCAGTATTGTAAGAAGAAAGGGACAGGAGGGATGTTTAGGAGTAGTAATAAAAGCATGCCCAAAACTGGCTATTGCAAATTAGAATGATAGTGTTTTCTCCCTTTCTGAAAGAGAGGGCTGAGGAGTAGAGACAGGGAAAAGCTACTTTTGCAACTTTTGAAAATTTCCAAAAAAAAAAAAGTTGGAGAAAGCAACTTCTTTAAAAGTCCTAAAAGAAAAGTGGAAGAATGTAACGTGGGATATAGGAATTACCCAGCGAGCTTCTTATAGAGCCAAGGTGGGTTCTCCTGCCTGGCCATGGAGAGAAGCTGCTGCCCTTCAGTGTAGCTAGGTTCAACGGTATCCTCCCTCTCTCCTCCTCTTCCTCTCTCATTCTCTATCTCTTTCTTATTGGAAAGGTGATGTACAGAGGGGTTACAATTACATAAGTCAGGTAATGAGTACATTTCTTTTTGAACAGTGTCACCTCCTCCCTCATTTTCTCCCAGTTTTTTGCGCCTATTTTTTCCCTTTTGCTACTAACAGGACCATTTTTAAAAAAAGGGAAGGGCTGGGAAGGTGGCTCAGTGGTAGAGTGCTTGCCTTGCATACCTGAGGCCCTGGGTTCAATTCCTCAGCACCACATAAGCAAAAAGAAAAAATCCGGAAGTGGTGCTGTGGCTCAAGTGGTAGAGCGCTAGCCTTGAGCTGAAGAGCTGAGGGACAGTACCCAGGCCCAGAGTTCAGGCCCCATGACCGGAACCAAAAAAACAAAAAACAAAAAAAAAATAATTTAAAAAAAGGGAAGAAAGGAAGGTCACCAGGAGTGGCCTCAGGGCTGTGTGGTATTTTCATCACTTGTTGAGCCTGAACAAGGACAGGCATGCAGGAATTTACTTTCTATTCTTTTGATATCTCTCTAATGTATAAAACTTACTACAAAAAGAAAAAAAGCACACAAAAAAGGTCAGGTGCCAGTGGCTCATACTTGTAATCCTAGCTATCCAAGATTGAAATTTGAGGATCACATCTTAAAGCCAGCCCAGGCACAAAAGTCCATGAGACTTTTATCTCCAATTAACCACCAGAAAGCCAGAAGTGGAACTGTGGTTCAAATGTTAAAGTGCTAGATTTGAGCAAAAAAGCTGAAGAACAGAACCCAAGCCCCAGGATTGGCATTAAAAAAAAAAAAGTAGTTTTCAGTGATTACCTAAACCAAACTTAATAAAATTACAGCCATCATATTTATTCCATAGTAAAATTCAGGAATATGAAGTCAAACCAAATGTAAATGCCCACATGTACTCTATAGTTTATAATCTAGTACATTCATAATCCAGTACTTTCTAGGGTTTTATTCCTGTGGTGCTGAGAATCAAGCTGATGACTTTGAACTTGCTGGTAAACAACAGATAAGTATTCTACAACTGTGCTATATCTACCTGATTTAGAATGAGGCAAGGTTCTGGGTAAAGTCAATAATAATGATAATAATGTAAAAATAACAACGTAGAACTTGCTAAATATTACCTTCGGCTCAACTCTGGTTTGAGTGCTTCAGAGCCCTCCGAAGGGGCTCCAGCGATGAGGTGGGCTGCAAACCTTTGCACTATGGGATGGTAATGCCTCTGAGGAGGAAGCGGTACAAGGTCGTGCACAATTCAGTACTTTAGAAAACATCAACTACAGTAAACACTTTCTTTAGTAAAGTATACCAGATTTTAGAGATGCCTATATATGGAACTCATTTGAACTATGCACTTACACACAGAATATTAACTTTGCTTACAGGATTAAAACCCAAATGTGTTTGATGGCCAAGTGAACAGTAATACAGCTTAGTCTTGCTTTATAGTATAAAAAGCACAAACAAAAACCAATTTGTATTTGAGTGAAAAACATTGACAACAGGTTGCCCAATGCTCGTAATTCCCTCTAGGCTCATTCGAATGCTGTCTTACACTACAGGATTCAGCCAATGCCACCTTGAAATGGCTTATGGCAGTCTCCGTCCATACAAAACAAATGCCCCCCCCAGCAATCCCCTTTATACTCTGAATAGTGTCAAGAAGAGTCAACAAGCATCACCACACTTTCCAGTGTTCACAAATGTCAAAGTAAAATGTACCAATACTAAATCAGTATTCCAAAAAAGATACTCCAACACAGAAGTACCTTGGCAAACATAACTATGAGACAAAAGCGTAAGCACACGGATTGCAAGAACGCAGGGTCACCCTCACCCGCAGCGCATGCAGCTCCCAAAGGGCCGTGTTCTGTGCATTACAGTGCTCCGGCTCATCTAGCTCTGGGAGGAACACTCCACTTCCCTGAGAGTCACTATCCAGCAACAGGTCTGCTCTCGGGAAAGTCTGCAAAATTATCACATTAGTTTGAAGAATGTTATTGGTCTATACTTGCATCTCATTTCAATGGTTATAATAAGGGACATAACATCTACTTTTAATAAAAAATAATTTACCTTTATCAAAAAGAAAAAATTCCTTGTTTAGAAATGAATTGTCTTTAAACCAGAATATTATTTTCTTCCCTCCAAACCTACTCTAGGTATCTTTCTCTTACTCTTGGAATCTTTCTTGTAAAATATAGAGCCAATACATGTATAAAGATATTCATGACATCACTTGTAATAGCAATAATGACAACTATGTTAATGAGAATAACTGATACGCCCAAGAGAATAACAAAAGAACAGAAAAGCCAGACTACCCAAATCTGAGTTCCACTTTCTGTTACACGCACTGTTACTTATAGACCTCTTTCCCCATGTGTAAATTGGGAACAACATGAGTAGCTATGTTAGAAACATTAGGTGAGGGGCTGGGAAGGTGGCTCAGTGGTAGAGCACTTGCCTTGCACACATGAGGCCCTGGGTTCGATTCCTCAGTACCACATAAGCAAAAAGAAAAAAGCCGGAAAGTGGCACTGTGGCTCAAGTGGTACAGTGCTAGCCTTGAGCTGAAGAGCTGAGGGACAGCACCCAGGCCCAGAGTTCAGGCCCCACGACCGCACCCCCCCCCAAAAAAAAAGAAACACTAGGTGAATTAAGGTTTGTAAAACAGTTATTATAACAGCCACAGGTATGAAATAAGAACTGTATCAGTGATAGTTTAACAAACAACTAAATTCACTTTAATCATTAAGAGATAAAGTAGGTCACATTTAATCATTAAGATACAAAGTATGGCTAGGCATAGCTGTGTATGCCTATAATCCCAGCTACTGTGCTGCAGAGGAAGGAATACCTCGTGTGTCAGGCCAGCCAGTGTCTCAAACACAAAAATAGTCCTGAGGTGTGTCTCAAATGTGTGAGACCCTAGGTTCAATCACCAATACCACACTGAGGGAAGGAGAGAAGGAGGCAGAGACACAGTTTCTGCTTTAAAAAAAAAAGTGTTTATGTGTGTATGTCAACAAAATGCCACTACACCCTAAGAACTCAACTCTCCACTGAATCGCTACTTACATGCATTAATGTTCTGGCAGTGGCTAAAATGCCAATGCCTGAGTTTGGAAGAACCTGAAGAGCAAGTGTGCAGAGGCGCTTGATGAAGGCCAGGGCTCGCTGCTGGGACACTTGCTTTCTGCGCTTGGTAAGCATGACATCCAGGCACTGGAGAACAATCTCAACACCTTCGTTGGTTGCACCTAAAATACCACACACATCCTTCAGGGCTTTTCTTGCTGGTTCTTCATATGCAACTTTCTTGAACTCCAGTAGAAAACCAACCCATTTTCCTAACCAATATACTAGTGATGTGCTGCTCAGAGATATGGTGGGCTATATTTATTAAATTCCCAGCCAACTCCAAGAACTCACTCTCCAAGTCTTATGTAAGGTGAAATACAGATAGATGCCTGTCATTTAATATGTCCAGCATTTTATGTAACAGTTCCCATTTCTCATTGCCTATTTTTTCTAGGCATAACATTCATGGAAGATAAATATATGCATTATGGAAACATTAAGTATACATACCTGCATGTAACTTGAACAGTGTTTTGTACAGATGTGTGTAGAATTTCATTGGATCAATATTTAAAACATCACCTTTGAAATGAAAACAAACATAATTACCTAAGTTATAGCTTCAAAGACAAAGCAAAAAAAAGTTGATTAAGAAAATACTTTAGCACTATGGAAGTTTCTCAAAAGACTAAACGTAGAGCAATTCCACTCTTGGGCATTTAATCAATAGATCACAAACAAGGCCATACTAAAGCTACCAGCACAAGCATGTTTACTGCAGCATTATTTACCATAGCCAAGATATGGAATCAGCCCAGATGCCCTTCAATGGACAAATGGATCAAGAAAACATTGTATCTGTACACAGTAGAATTCTACCCATTCATCAGAAAGAATGATATTGTATCATTAGTAAGGAAATGCAAAGACTTCAAAAATTATATTAAATAAAGTAAGCCAGACCCAAAGAAAAATAGAATGCATGGTTTCTCTCATTTGTGGTAACTAGAATGTGCATATAAATCTACAAGTAAACACAATGGATGGTTTAAAAAAATACACTGGGACACAATAAATCATACAGGTCTCTAGGCAGTGAGACCAAAGGAGGATATTCTTAGAAGAATACAAAAAGCGTAACGTGCATCTGATCATATAAAATGATATTTATTGAAATTAACTCCAGGAAATGGTAACAAAGGGTTTTTTTTTTCCTTTGTTGCTGTCTTGTTTTCTTTTCCTTTTGTCTTGTTTGTTCATTTATCTAGTTTTGGAAGGGGAAGGGGAAGCAAAGAATGGGACAGGGTAAAAAAATGCAGCAGTGATTAAACTAGACACTATGTTGAAAATGAACTATGCAACTTGTGGGTGGGGACAGGAAGAAAAAAACTGGGAGAGCATGAGAGAAGAGGTGACATTGTTTAAAAAGAAATGCACTCTTTATCTGATTTATGTAACTGCTAACCCTCTGTACATCACCTTTACAATAACAATTTTTAAAATGCATTAAAAAAAACCTATTTTACCTTGTCCAGAAAGAATATGAAATGCAGTCTGGACACAGTGAAGACTTTCTTGATAGCTTAAGTCCTTAAAAAAAAAAAATGAAGAATGATAATTAACCAGGGGCTGGTGGCTTATAGATAGTCTTAGCTAATCAGGAAGCAGAGATCAGAAGGACTGTAATTCAGAAGGATTACAGTTCTTAGCTAATCAGGAAGCAGAGATAAGAAGGACTAGGCAAAAAGTTTCTCAAGACCCCATCTTAACAGAAAAAGCTGGGTGTGTGGTGTGATATGTGTGTCATGCTAGCTTTGGTGAAAAGTATGAATAGGTGGATCTCAATTCTAGCCAGCCCAAGCAATGAATGAGATCCTAGCTCAAAAACAACCACAGAAAAAATGGCTGGAGATGTGGCAGAAACTTAGAGCACCTGCCTACCAAGTGTGAAACTCTGAGTTCCAACCCCAGTACAGCCAAAAACAAAACAAAAAGACTGATAATCATCATTTATATATGTTAATAGTAACTTACACCAGACTCAATGAGTGTGTGAAGAACTACTAACAAATCATCAAAAAACTCCACATTTATAAGATGAGCAAACCTAGAAGCAAACAAAATAACTTAGTTAATAGAAGTTATTAATACTTTTTATAAATTTCAGATTGCTTTTTTAAATAATTCACACACTGTTGGACATTTTACTTGATAGGGATATATGACTACTAAGCAATAAATTAAAATGTTTTAAAAAATACTTTTGTCCTGATAAAGAAATTGCTAAGAATAAACAACTTCTCTGAGCAAAGCCCATTATGTTTCTAATAGTCATCTTAAGTCATAAAGGGGCCAGCAGCCTCAGCTTCTAGGAAAAAGGAGCATAGAAGAGAGAAAGAGACTTATGCTATTTGCAAGCTGGATCTAGAACAGGGAGTGCATGTAGCTCAGTGGTTTGTTTGCACAATACATAAGGTTCTATCTTACCCAGTCAGAATGGCAGCCATCAAGAAAACAAATGTGCTGATGAAGATGGGGAGAGGGGAATCCTCATACACTGATAAGACTATAAACTAATGCAACCATTATGGAAAAGTCAGTATGGAGGTTCCTCAAAAGACTAAAACTAGATCTTCCCTATGGCCCTTCCAGACTACTACTGTTTACATATTCAAAGGAGCGTAAATCAATATACAAGGAAGACACCTGCATACCCATGTTTGTTCAGAGCTGCTCACCATAGCTAAGGGGCTGAACAGATGAGTGAATAAAGAAAATATGGAACACACACCATGGACTATTACATAGCCATAAAGAAAAATGAAATCATGCCATTTGCAGGAAAATGGATGGAATTGGAGGTCATCATTTTGACCAAGATAAGGCAAGCTCAAAAACCAGATACTGTGTTTCATTTGTGAAAACTAGACCCCAAAATGTACTTGTGGATAAATACATACATATAAATGCACATACATAGAACATGATTCTAAGTATAGGACTAATTAGAAGGATGAGGAGGAGAGAGGGAAAAAGAAAGATGACACACTAGGCACCATTGTTAAATTCATGGTTACTTTGATCTTCTGAATTTAGGAAGAATCTGAAAGGTATTGACCTACAAAGCCCTTACTTGGCAAGACCTTCCAGAACTGCAGGTAGGAGAGGTGACCGTCGGGCCTTCTTCAGTATTCTGAAGTAGGTTACAAATACAATATTCAAAGTCTCTGTGTGCTGGCAGAGGAAACAGACAGCATCACTTCAGGTTTGAGTTCACTGAGGTGGCATAACTTCAATTTTCAACACTAAATCTTTTTTCCCATTCCTCCCAATTCAATCTTTGGAACATTAAGGAAAACATAATAAAAAGTATCTTGTGATTTCATAAAACCAGCACCAACCACATCATCCTGTCTTGTATCTAAGCCACATAATATTAAATCAAAATTATACACACAATGAATCTCTATTTAAAATCATCATCTAACACAACACCTAGAAAACAACCAGAATGGGAACTGCCTACCAGTTTAAGTTTCTTCTCAGTACTTTCTGATGCTTCTGCCTCCCGAAGCTCTCGCTCTAGTTTCTCTTCTGCTTTCTTCCACTGAAGTAGAAGGGGAAAAGTGAACATACCACTGAGTGAACAAAGCAGAGGAAGATCAACTTATAAAACAATCAGAAAACAGATAATCTGTGAATGCAAATGTAAGCAGTGGTTGCCTTTTGGGAAAAAGGTAGAATCAGACTGTAGAGAGACCAAAAAGGGGATTTCTACTCTTGCACCAATTTTTTTCTTGTTTGTTGATGCTCAAGTTTTTTCGTGCTGAGTACCAGGAAAGCACCTCTACCATTTAAGCCATGGCCCCACCCACTTTTGCTTTAGCTATTTTGTGCTTTTTGCCCATGACAGCCTAGAACTCCTTCCTTTCCTACCTAGAAATTCCTATGTAATCCTAGCTAGGATTACAGGTGTGAACTATCATAATACATAGAACTTACTCGTTGAAATAGGGTCTTGCTAATCTTTTCCTGGGTTGGCCTCAAATTATGTTGTTATTTCCACCTTCTAAGTGGCTGAAATTTACAGGAATGTACCATCGTGCCCAGTCCTATATATATGAAAACCAAATATATATATTATCAGACTCATTCAGAGATGACTGTATCTGGAAGTTGTTTTCTGTTTTGTTATTATAGGCAACTTTGTAATCCTAATAAATGGTTTATAAGTGCTTTGGGAAATAATCACTACACTAATGTTATTACCATGACAGTGGTGGTAACAATGTTTATGAAGCTTGCCAAGGGTTATGAACTCTATGTGTTTCATATACATATCCTCACCTATTCTTTGGAGGTATGGGGGTTTGAACACCGGGCCTTGCACTTGCCAAGTGCTCAATCACTTGAGCCCTGTTGCCAGTCCTACTTCATTTCATTTAAACCATAAAATGACTGTATGGGGTAGACACTCTGTACCCCATTTCTAAAAACAATGTTTCTAAAGTCTCAGTCTGGAATTTCAACCCAGGATTAATAACAGACTAGAATTCCAACCAGTTAAAAACAAACACCAAAAATATGATTCAATTTAACAGAAACTTACATGAATGCATCCTTTCTGTTAAAAGAAACAAGTCTGTACCATGATTCTAAATTGATCTAAGAAAAAAGCCTACATGACCAAAATATCTCTTCACCTACTTCTATTTCCTATGAACTATCATAGATATTACATTAACTGGGAAAAATAAAAATTTCTAAATGTTAGATTTCAAAATGTTTCTTTTCTGAGATAGTCTCAGAATCTGGCCTCAAACTCCTGGGGAACTGAGTAGCAGCTAGGGCTATAGGCATGTGCCACCAGATTTTACTATGATTTAAAGCCAGGTGTAGTAGCACATACTATTATCACAGCTCTAGGAAGGCTAAGGTGGGAGGATTATGAGTTGGGAGGCCAGCCAGAGCTACACACATAGTAAGACACTGCCTTCCGCCCCACCCCCACCAAAAATAGCAATTCCTTTCTCCTTAACTATTATTTACCTATGCCTAAACTATGGTTTTCATCTAAGGTCAAATAAAACAATACTTAAAAGAAAAAGAAACTAAATCCAACCTTTCTTTGCATTCTTGATAGAGTCTTTCTTTTTTCCTTGAAAGTCATGAACTTTTTTGGTTTATTAATGTCCTCTGTGTCTTTTTTTACTTCCACTTCTTTAATTCTTAGGCACAAAAATGTTTTTAACATCTAATATTGAAAGAATACAAATACATAACTTAATACTTATACTGACTTTAAAAACTCTATAGAAAGATTAACACTTTACAACGTTATTTCTTCATTCATACGAAACCACTTTGAAACATCTTTTATACAAAGTACCTATATCCTTCTGCCAGTCATATTCAGTTATTTATGTCTATAAAAGAACATTAGTCATTTGCTAACTACAAAAAACTTTGTTGCTTCAGGAGTATATAAGGAAGAACAAACACTACTTGCAGGTAAGATCAGAAAACAGCTTAACTAAGAAAAAAAATTGTGTCACAAAGGTTTAATATCCTTATTTTGTAGTATAGACTACAGACAGTTTTGATCTTTTGATATTTTATCCCCAGAACCTAGAGTAGTACCTGGCACATACCAAAGTTACTGAAATTAAATATTTTAAAAATTATAAGAGATGGGGCTGGGAAGGTGGCTCAGTGGTAGAACACTTGCCTTGCATGCCTGAGGCCCTGGGTTCAATTCCCCAGCACCACATAAGCAAAAAGAAAAAAGCCGGAAGTGGTGCTATGGCTCAAGTGGTAGAGCACTAGCCTTGAGCTGAAGAGCTGAGGGACAGCGCCCAAGCCGAGTTCAGGCCCCATGACCGGACACAAAATATATATATATATATATATATATATATATATGTAAGAGGTCATTAAGAAAGATAAATACTTGATGAGAAAATCTGGCAAGTAATATAAACAAGTTCAAATAAGTAGTACATGAACTGAAGGGAATAGAACCTTACTAATAAATATATAAAAATAAACACGCAATGTATGTGTAAAGACGATAGAGTAAATAGTAAGATACACAAGGGAAATGATACTCATATCCCTAATAGGAATGTAAGTGATAAAAATATTTTAGAAAACAATTTGGCACTTTCTCTCAAGTTTCGTTTTTGTTTTATGCCAATCTTGGGGCTTGAACTCAGGGCCTGCATGCTGCCCCTGAGAGCTTCCTTTTTTAGTGCTTTACCACTTGAGACATAGCTCCACTTCTTATTTTGTAATGTACTAGAGATAAGAGTCTCACTGGACTGGGATGTGGCTCAGTGGCAAAGCACTTGCCTAGCAAGTACAACATGCTGGGTTCAATCTCCAGTACAAAAAAGGAGAAAGACAAAATAAAAAGTCTCACAGACTTTCCTGCTCCTGCTGGCTTCAAACTGCAATCCTCAGATCTCAGGCCCTCCCCGCCCCCTGCCCGCCCCGGGGTCATGGGGCCTGAACTCTGGACCTGTGCACTGTCCCTCAGGATTTTCAGCTCAAGGCTAACGCTCTACCCTTGAGCCACAGCTCCACTTCCCAGCCTTTTCTGCTTACGTGGTGCCGAGGAACCGAACCCAGGGCCTCATGCATGCAAGACACGGACTCTATCACTGAGCCACTTTCCTAGCCCCCTCTCTCATGTTTTTTTTTTTTTTTTGGGTCCGGTCGTGGGGCCTGAACTCTGGGCCTGGGCGCTGTCCCTCAGCTCTTCAGCTCAAGGCTAGCGCTCTACCACTTGAGCCACAGCGCCATTTCTGGCTTTTTTCTTATGTGGTGCTGAGGAATTGAACCCAGGGCCTCATGCATGTCAGGCAAGCACTCTACCACTGAGCCACCTTCCCAGCCCCTCTCTCATGTTCTTAAGTGAGATTTCTGTTAGATCCAGCATTACAGTTCAGAAGTATAACTCACAGAATATGAAAAAATAATATGGCCAAAATGTTCTCTCCAACAGCAAAAATCTAGAAGTAACTCAGATGCCCTTTAGAGGGTTCTATATATTCACAGTAAAATAGTCTGATGGACATTACAAAGAAGACAGATCCTGGGACTGGGAAAGTGGCTCAGTGGTAGAGCGCTTGCCTTGCATGCATAAGGCCCTGGGTTCAAATTCCTCAGTGCCACATAAGCAAAAAGAAAAAAGCCAGAAGTGGCGCTGTGGTTCAAGTGGTAGAGCGCTAGCCTTGAGCTGAAGAGCTGAGGGACAGCGCCCAGGCCCAGAGTTCAGGCCCCCCGACCGGACCCAAAGAAGCCAGATCCCCACATAAGTTCATGGGACAGAACAGTCTTCATAGTATAAGTACACATCTGCACAGACACACAGCTTGGAAGGCCATTAACACACCAATATTAAGGGTTTACATTTACTGAGGTTGAATACTTTCACTTTGCATTTTTTATACTTTCTTTAGGAATAAATTACTAAATACTAAAAATTAACCTTGTAATTTAAAGACAGATGCAGAGTAAGAAAGGCTTACCTCTGGCCTAACGTCATAATTTCTGCCCTTCACAAAGCCAGAAATCACTTTAATTACACCAAGAGAAGCTTGACCTAATTTATCTTGTTTAAAAAGTTTCTTTACAGCCTCACAACACATTTCAGATATCTGAAAAATAAAATGTTACACTAAACCAATGTTCCCAAGCTTCCCACTTCTCATACTGAAGGTCAGATAGATAAGGGGGCAGTCCTCGCCCTGTGGGTATGGAAGGCACTCCTGGCCTTCACCACTGCCCCAGGAATAACACCTCCCCCACCACACTCAGGACAATCAGAACTGTCTGCAGACACTGCCTCATGTTCTGCAGGACACAAACTTCCTCTTCTTCCAACTGGAAGAAAACGCCAATTTTCTAAAAGAGACAGTGTTTAACAAATGGATACTATTTTACTAACAGAACCAAAAGAATGGGGGGTGGAGGTGGGGAGAGCTCATGCAGTATACAAGAATAACCCACCGATTTTGAGGTATCATTCATGAGAGGGACAATCAACACGATGATGTTGTTGTGGAAGTTAAAGTGAGGTAGTGCCACCAACAGCTCACACAGGCTCTTCACAGCCACTTCTGCAAGTCCTCTGTAAGCCTTTAAGGACACCACGTTACTTTTCTTCAGCTTCCTTTGCTTCCAGTCTAAGGAAAAGATGAATGTACATCCTCACTTTATTCACTGGTTAACTCTTAAAACTAATTAGCTTTCTTTTTAAAGTAAATACATATCTTAAACAAAAGCTACCAAGAAAAAAACAGACTTCATGTTAGCTCAGCCTGTTTAGAAAAGGCCTATACCTGTCATGATTACATACAGAGACCATCAGCAACTGAGAGTTTGAACTTTGGACCAAAACAATAAGAAGGCAGAACATTTCATTAATCTTGAAAATAAATTATATGTTGAAATGACAATTTGCAGATAAACATGCATATAATTTGCTGTTAAATTTCAATACTTTGTGTGGGGTGGGACTACAATTTTTTAAATGATGTATATAGCATGCTATTTTCAATTTTTTGTTCAGTGTCAATCTACACAAAGCTCTGAGGGTTGCCATTGTAGCTCAGTGGTACACTGCTTGTCTAGCACACACAAGGTTCTAAATTCAATCCCCACACCACAAATCAAGAAAAAATAGATAAATAATAACTACAGTTAACACTACTATTAATAACTGAAACATACATGTTAGACAGTTCTAAGTGCTTTATATTTCTAAACTGAATTACTTTTCATAGTAATTCAATAAGATAAGTGGTAGTTACCACCCCATTTTTCAGACAGGAAAACTGAGAAACACAAAGATTAAGTGACTTGCCTAATATATAAGTAGTAAACAGTAGACAAAGACTGAGCTCAGACTCAACTCCTTACCACACACTATACACAAAATATACATTTACCTTTGTGAGTAGGGCCGTTAATGTACCTTTAATGTTTTTCATACCTTTAACCATTTGCTCCAGATTTTCCAAATAAAATTTATACTGGCTAACAAGGCCTTCTTCAAATTCTCGTAACTTTTGGGTTTCTTTTCGCATCTGAAAAGATCAAAAAGATTATTTTAAACAAGTCAGAACATGAGAACCCCAAACTGGCATAAAATACATGTGTGTGTCCAGTACTGAGAAAAACAATGAAAAACAAAAGCAAACAAACAAACAAGACAAAACAGCAAAACCATACTATTCTCCCATCTCCAGCTCTCCAAAACTTTCAGCATATTTTCTACAGTAATTGTACCTAGCATTACCTTGGCAGATTTCTCAACTTCTGTGAGAGGCCGGATTTTGTATGAAGGGGTAATATCCTTAAACAGCTCCATCAACGAAACTATCACTAGCTTCCGCACAGTAACAGCTACATCTGGGTCCTGTTCCATGAGCATGGAACGCAGTTCTTTCAGTTTTTTAATCTGTTAAAGAAATCACTTATAAGACTAAAAGAATCACAAGTAATGCTGAAACAACAGCCCCACATGTGGTACAGTAAGTAGTCTTCACTTGATGAGTCAGGACAGTCAACCACCAAACTCTAGACTAGCTCGCCTCACCAACACTGAAGTTAGAGGGTAACCAGAGTCACTTAAAGATAGCTTGAAAATGTTAATATACCTATTTGCAGACAGTGAGTCTTCTAGGATGAAATGAGTTTTGGATACAGTAACTTTCACAACTCCATACTCAGTTCTGAGTTTCCTGAGTTTACATGCTACAAGCATTTTGACCATTATATACAAGATCCAATGTTAATTCCAAAATACCCCTAAACTAATTCCACTGACTTCTATATAGAATATTCCTTATTAAAAATTCTACAGTCAGGCATGGCAGCACATCCAAGCACTGGAGATGAGGAAGGAACATTAGGAGTTAGAGGCCAGCCTAAGCTACACAGAGGGACCCTGTGCAAAAACAAAGCAAAACAATCAGTTGAACACATTTGCAAATAAATTCCTCTTCCCTAATACAATGAATTTTTTAGTGTCAATTTTTGATAACTTTTAGAGTTACCAAAAATAAATCCATTATCTTCATTCAGAGATGAGGAAAATTTACACTCAGAATTTAAGTGACTTTCATAAGATCCACAAAGAAACTCAGTTCAGATCAGGATTAGGCTAAGATTGTGTCTATTCCCTTACCCTCATCCAGCTACTACAGTCAGTTATTTTCCTTTCTGTGTATGCTCACATACAATAAGAAACTTTGAATATATTATGCATTTACCCCACCTTTAAGAGAGAACTCACACTACCTACATTACTTTCTGGATCTGACAGGATGGCAGAAGCCAAGGTTGCAATATGTATTTTCTTCTCCTGGAGTTTCTTCCTTCTCTCAATCAGATGTTCTTCTACAGTCAGCTCTCGAATAGGCTCTTCAGCTGTCTCTGAAATAGATTAGGGTTTCCCTCTTAAATATCCTTCATTTGCAAGCACCCAAGAAAATTTCATATGTGAACATATATACCTATTTATACACACATACATATCTATACATACATATGTAGGTATATAAGTAAATAAAATACTTTTCTTAGTAAAAAATAATGCTTCTAGCTAAGAATCTTATATTGCCAATATATATCATCTTCTCAACAATCATGTAGGACAGGCACTATCATTAGACTCATAAGTAAGGAAGCTGTTTCATAAACCTAATAGAAATGGGATTTGAATCCAGTAAAGTTCATATTCTTAACTACTGTGCTAATAAACCCACAGTAATTTATATTAACTAAGGAAAGGGTAATTAGGTTTTTCTTCAAGGATAAAATACTGCTTTTTTCAACTCTGTGTAATAGAGAGAACATATCTATCTTGAGATTCAGAGTGAATAGATGTAATAAATGCAAAAATATAATCTGTAATGAGCCTATGATGCATAACGGAAAATAGTTAAATAGTTGATCTACCATCCCATGTACACTTACATCTACCTGGTCAAAGTAAAATTTAACAAACATGTTTTATGACACATTCTAAACTAAAGTCAGGCATGGTAGCAAAAGCCTATAATCATAGGTACTGGAAAGTTAGAGGCAGGAGGACAGAGAGTTAAGGGCAAAAGAAGTTAAGATTCTACCTTAAAAAAACTAACAAAAACGAGAGGACTGGAGTTGTAGCTTAAATCAATATATATATATATATATATATATATATATATATATACACACACATACATATACACATACACATACATATATCTGGACTTCAGACAATGCAACCATTTTCGTCATTTACACCTAAAAGGTTCATTATTTATAGTTAGGTTCTTATAATTAAAAGGAATCAAGAGGACCAGGCATGGTTGTACAAACTATAATCTGAGCTACTAAAGAAACAGAAATAGGATTTCAGTCCAAAGCTAGCCTGGGCAAAAAACTTAAGATTCAATCTGAAAAATTTTTTAAAAAGCAAAAGAAATTGCAACACTGTTCACAATAGCTAGGATATGGAAACAACTCACATGCCCCACCACAGATGAATGGATCCCAAAATTGTGGTATCTATACACAATGGAATATTATGCAGCCATTAGAAATGACAAAATAATGGCATTTGCAGGGAAATGGATGGAGCTAGAAGGAATCATGTTGAGCGAGGTAAGCCAAGAGCAAAGAAACAAACGGTACATGGTCTCCCTGATAAATGGATGCTAAATCCAAAATGTTAGGTGATACAACAAAATTAACAGGACTTAAGAAATAAAGAACTTCCACTAATCTGGTCGAACCACTACTAAATATCCCCATGCTGCTGATCACATGTATGGTGTATATGTGTACACCGTTATATGTTATAGACTGTGATAGACAATTTGCTCCAGGAAAGTTTGAATGAACTTGTGACTTTAAATAAGCATCATTATTCCACAATACTGTGAAATTTGGGAAATTATGTAATCACTTAATCACAATTAAAAAAAAAAACCTCGGGGAAGATAGGGAGGGAAGGGATAGTAGGGGGAAAACAATGGAGGGGTAACAATGCACAATAGGAAGTGTACTCATTACCTTACTCATGTAACTGTAACCCTCTGTATAGTATCTTTACAATAAAAAATTAAAAAAAAAAAAAGCAAAAGAACTAGGAGTATAGTTCAAGATGTAAAGCACTTGCCTGACAAGCATAAGACTCTGAGTTCAAAAGAATGGAGGAATTCAGAACAATAAATTTTAAAATTCATGTGTGCCATTATATTGTAAATATGTAAATGGGTAAAATTTTCATAAATAAAAAAAGAGAATATCAAATTCTACACAGTGAAAATTTCATATGTGGGAAAATGAACAGTACTCCAAAATGGACATGCCAGGTTTTACTTACTATTATGCAAAAAAAAAAAAAAAAGTTACTTCTCAATTAGCAATGTAGTCATTGTAAAGATACACTTCATTACCTTCGTTATCTTCCATCTCTTCTTCTTGATCCTCTTCATCTTTGTTAATGTCAACAGCTATTTGGAAAATATACACATTAAAACTATGATAATCTTAAAAAGGCCAAATCTAAGTTCAACAAAAGAAAATCCAGAAAAATAGGTATTTGAAAGGGGTGGGGTAGGGTGAAGGTAAGAGAAGCAGACGAATGAAAAGAAGGGGGTGGGGAGGAAATGCAGTCAAGAATTCAGTGCATATGCTGCAAAATTAGGAAAATTAAAGGAGGGGGTGGTTTGGGAGGGATGGGTAAGGGGTAACATTGATCAAGATGCATTGTATTAATACAATTTGTTAAATGGCAGCTCCTTTTAACAACTACTTAAACATTAAAAAAAAAATAAAACTGGGCTGGAAAGGTGGCTCAGTGGTAGAGTGCTTGCCTCCCATGCATGAGGCCCTGAGTTCGATTCCTCAGCACCACAAAAGCAGAAAAAGCTGAAGTGGCACTGTGGCTCAAGTGGTAGAGCATTAGCCTTGAGCTGAAGAGCTGAGAGGACAGCGCCCAGGCCCAGAGTTCAGGCCCCATGACCGAACCCCCCACCCCAACAAAAAAAACAAAAACAAAAACCAAGGGGCTAATTATGGATTTCTATTGCTTCTGAAAATAGTTAATGTGCCCAATCTTCAGAAACCATAGAATTTGGCAAAATAAGCCGCGTGCGGTGGCTCACGCCTGTAATTCTAGCTACTCAGGAGGCTGAGATCTGAGGATCAAGGTTCAAAGCCAGCCCGGGCAGGAAAGTCTGTGAGACTCTTTTCTCCAATAAACCACTAGAAAACCGGAAGTGGTGCTGTGGCTCAAGTGGTAGAGCGCAGGGACAGCACCCAAGCCCAGAGTTCAAGCCCCATGACCGACAAAAAAAAAAAAAAAAGAATTTGGCAAAATACTCTTGGAAAAGAAAATTATCTAAGACTGTCTTGATGGTGCATGCCCATAATCCTTGGCCCTTGTGAGATGGAAACCAGAAGGATTGCAGTTTGAGGCTAGCCTGGGGGGAAAAAAGTTAGTGAGACCACCTTCCATCTCAATAAGCTAGGTGTAGTGGTGGCATGCTTGAAATCCCAACTATGAGGGAGACAGAGTCCATAGACAGGAGGATCACCATATAGGCTGGATAAAGCCAAAATGCAAGACCCTAACCAAAAAAATAACTAAAGCAAAAATGGATGGGGAACGGCTCAAATGGTAGAGCACCTGCTTCACAAGTGTAAGGACCTGAGTTCGTCCTAGAACTGATGTAAAAAAATAAAAAAGAAAAATCACCCAAACCTTGTAGGTTCCATTGTACTCACTGTACAATAGAGACCTGGATAATCAACTTTATTTCTAGCCCATGTCATCAAGCTTGCAATATGATTAACTGCACCTGTCCCTATTTTGTAGCTATGAGTACAAAGTCAAAGTCATGATGAAACAAAACGTGTCACAATATTAGCGAGCAACTACAAGTTGACTAAATCAAATGAACAGACTAACCTGGCTTCTCCCGGGTCTGAGGGATGATACCGCTTTTATCTTTGATAGGAAGCAAGTGTATCAGTTCCTTCTCAGGTTCTGTTTGCAGAGTTCTTGGTATTTTTTCATATTTATCTATAACATGCTCTTTCTTCCGTTTCTTGGCATGAACTGGCTCACTGCAAGAAAACAAAAATCTGTTTTTGGTTTTAATTGGTTTTAAAAGGTATCTGAAAGGCAAGTGCTGGCAGCTTGTGGCTGTAATCCTAGCTACTCAGGAGTCTGAGATCTGAGGATCATGGTTAAAGCTAGCCTAGGGAAGGAAAGCCTAGAGATTCTTATCTCCAATTAACTACCAAAAGAGCCAGAAATGGAGCTTGTAGCTCAAGTGTTAGAGTACTAACCATGAGCAAAAAAGTTCAGGGACAATGCCTGGGCCCTAGGTTCAAGTCCCAGAACTAGCATTTGCATGTGTGCATGCGTACACCTAAGTACCTAAACACCTATTTTAAAACTACTGTTGACCCATGTACAATGCAGAAGTTAAACGAGTACTATAGATGTAACTACCACCCCTCCACCCCACTACAACCCGTTCACCAGAAGCTGTCCTGACAAAAGAACAGTGACCAATACATATTTTACGTTACTCATTATACACAGTGAAAAAATACGGACAGTAAGAGATCAGTTTTAGCTGAGACATGTGATTCACTAGAGAGATGAGCTGTTCATGCCAAGATTATTCATATGACACAAAATTTTCAGCAGACTTTTTTGTCGGTCGTAAGGCTTGAACTCTGGGTCTGGGCACTGTCCCTCAGCTCTTTAGCTCAAGGCTAGCGCTCTACCACTTGAGCCACCATGCCACTTCCGGTTTTCTGGTAGTTTATTGGAGATAAGAGTCTCACAGTCTTTCTTGCCTGGGCTGACTTTGAACTGCAATCCTCAGATCTCAGCCTCCTAAGTAGCTAGGATTACAGGCGTAAGTCACCACGCCTGGCAAATTTCAACTTTTCATAATAGATTTGTATATATTTTATGGTATAAATGACAAAATGTATGATTAACTATAAATATTTTATACATTCATGATACCCTTTAGTTCTTTCTCTATTTGTAGGCTCTGTGGTTTTTCTGCAAGTTTTTTCAAACTATCACAAATATTCCACAAATAATAATAAATATTTTATACTTATGTCTAGGTGTTAACACTTAAGACTAATAGGCACTGGTCTTGTGGGCCAGAAATAAAGCTAATTATCCAGGTATCTGTTGTAGGCATTCAAATAGCAAATGAACTGTGTTAAATCTACAGCTGAGACTGAAACTAAAGCTACATCTAGTTTTTCCTTTAGATGTAAAATGAAGGTCAAAGTCATAATAAGAGTCCTTTTGAAGAACAGTGTGTAGAGGTAAGGATGACATTAGCCTTTTTTTCCCCAAAAAATCCTTTAGAGCACACTGTGGAATTTGGAACTAAAAAAATCAAAGTATAAATTCTATATCCATTCCCTGTCATCACAGGAAAGCACTAATTCCACCTCTGGAAATTCAAATACTACCTAACAAGGTAAAAAAAATAAGACTGTGGACTGTTTTGCCAGTGCTCAAATGTAATAGTATCCTCTGCCAACTCACTATTCATTCTCAAAAGAAATAAAAATGAGCCGGGCTCTGGCGGCTAATGCCTGTAATCCTAGCTACTCAAGAGGCTGAGACTTGAGGATCACAGTTCAAAGACAGCCCAGGCAGGAAAGTCCATGAGACTTTTATCTCCAGAAAACTGGAAAGAAACCACCAGAAAAGTGGAAGTGGTGCTGTGGCTCAAGTGGTAGAGTGCCTTGAGCAGCAGAGCTGAGGGACAGCGTCCAGGCCCAGAGTTCAAGCCCCATGACCAAAAAAATAAGTATGCTGAAATCAACTTACTTTGTTCAGCTATTTATGTAGGAAGTAACTTGGTATCAATCTGAATTCATTCTTTGTAAACACTGAGTCTGGGTGAGCATCCTGAACTAATCACCTAAGAAGTGTAATTCAGAACCTACTTTTTGACAGTGCATAGATGTGGATGATTATAACTCAAATGAGATAATACCTAGAAGAAAGATCTCTTGTTAGGAAAGATGCTCTCTGTCCTAAATCCTTCATTAACTGTAGGTCATCTTCATCCATCATATCTAAGGGAAGGGCTTCTTCTTCTTCTTCTTCCTCTTCCCTCTCAATCCTTTTGACTGTTCCACAAAAACAAAATCAGACACATTGATTAGAGATATAAGAACTCTGCATTTTACTGGCTGTAATAGAAAAGTCTTATGTTTATCTGATACCTTAGCCTAGTGGAACACGACTGACATGTTGGGCATGAAAATTCTTTGCTGGATTGGGATGCACTGATCTAGATTAAAATGCCACAATCTTAGCAACTCTGACTCTTAAAAATAAATGCCAAGAGCATTTCCATGTCATAGTATCAACCAAAAATAAATGTTTCTTCATACTCAGAAATGTCTCTCATGGCACTTGATTTGAAAACATATATGCTAAATCTTCCAACTCTTTATCTCCAGTGACTTTCACTTATATTCCACTTTAGCTAGCCTCTCTGAGCCTATGTTCCAGATGTTTGTGCTCACCTTTCTGAACAGCTATCACTCAGCTACTGCAATGCTAATAAACAGATTGTAATTCTTTCGCCATCTCATGTTTTACCAATGTATTCTGTCATAACTCCTTCACTTAGATTGCATGGTAACACTTCAACCATTCTCATTCCATTTCTCAACTACTTTTCTTTGTATACTTAGGACACATCTAACAAAACCTCAAATACGGATCATTCTAACTTCTCTCTCTGCAATCCCTTGATTTTTTTCTACATCTCTTTTTATTATTTACTGGAAAAAAAAAAAAAAAGGCCAGGCACTAGTGGCTCACAACTGTAATCTAGCTACTCAGGAGGACGAGATCTGAGGACGGCAGTTTGAAGCCAGCTGGGGCAGGAAAGTCCCTGAAACTCTTATCTCCAATTAATCACAGAAAAAGCCTGAAGTGGTGCTGTGGCTAAATTGGTAAAGTGCTAACCTTGAGTAAAATGGAGCTCAGGAACAGTACCCATGCCCAGAGTTCAAGCCCCAGGACCAGCAAAACAAACAAAAAGAGAAATATACTCATTACCTTGCTCATGTAACTGTAACCCCTCTGTACAGTATTTTCACAATAAAAAAATTTATTAAAAAAAAAGAATGCCAACTAAATATCAGAAACTATTCTAAGTGCTGATGATACAACTACAAACAAAGTGATCTTAATGTCTTCTCTATCAGGACTTAAAAGGTCTTCCTGGAAGCAATAAGACAGGTAAATACTGATAATTAAATACACATAACTGCTTTTTGGGGGGTGGCATTACAAGAGTTTGAACTCAGAGTCACATGCTTGCCAGATAGATGCTTTACTGCTGCACCATGCCAACAGTTCTGGAACTACTGACTTTATGTGAGCATTCTATTTTTCAGACATACCAGCGATCCACGTATTTTCTAGGGTCAGGTTTCTCCTTCATAGACTACCATCACACCCAAATCCCATCACCCACCTCATAATAATGATCAAAAGATCCATCTTTCTACTTTAATGGGACAAGAGGCCATAAGCTAAACACCAATTTCCCATACTAGATTCAATACCATTTGCATCCATCTTTTTTTTTTCCCTCTCGCATCTGTGTGATAGACTTCACTTAGATGCTAAAGAAATCCTTTGCTTTTATTTTCATTATAAAACTATTAGCATATCAACCTGTTAAAATTCTAAAACTTAAAGTATCTAATTTACCTACTTCATTTCTTTTAGCAGATTAAAGTGGCTGACAATTAAGTTACCAACCAACCCCACATGATTACTTTAAAAAAAAAAAAAAGAGAAACCCGAGTGTTCTTGGATTTTTCATTTTCAGTTAAATGACCTTGGGACAGTAACACTGCCAAGGGGTCAACCAATATTAAGAAATGAGATAGAAACCAAAGGGTGAATAGTTATTTAATAACTAGATATAGACAACTAAATATGAAACGTAAAAGTACCAGTAAAGTTGCAGAACTAGCCTGACACAAAATGGTAATAGTCTTTTCTTGTTTTATGTAGCTGGCATTCTTGGATAGTTTTACAACGATAATTCAGACAATGATAGCTCAATTTTACTCCAAGTTTACAAAAAGAAAGTCAACAATTTAGAAAGGAAAGTACATTTTGGCAACCCTGTAAAGAATGCACCAGAAAAAAAGTGCTTTTCTTAGCTACCTAACTGCCAGTGAATGGAGAGGCATCACTGGTCTAATGCACAACATATATTTACATGGCTACTCCAGGTCTGATTTACCAACTAGTGCATTTCCAGGACTGCATGTTAGACAAACTAAGGTTAGCTTTTTCTCACGATGAATTCTCTTAAGAAAAAGCTTTCTCATACTGTGACTTTTTTTCATACTGTAATAAAGTACATAGGACTTACATCCTTACTTTATTACTAAAAAGTACATTTCTAGGAAAATATTTGGAATGATCTATTGAAACCAGAGCATGTGAATGCTTTCATAATTACCTGGTCGTTTTTCCTTTGGGTCTTCCAATGGAATGGGTTTCTTAGAAACAGCATCTTTTACAGCTTGCCTTAGTTTCCTCTGTTCTTTCCGGTACTTCTTGAGAGTGCTTTGTTGTTTAAATTGCTTATTTTTTAGCTTGTTTTCAAGTTTGACTTTACTAGTTTTTAATAACTTGCGGAAGCTTGGGACCTGTTTTTTATTCCTCCTCTAGAAAACAAGAAAAATACTACATATTGAGAAATGGAACTTATTTTAAAAATCAGGTTAAATAGAATTGATTATAAATCCAACCAATCCCACGATTTTAGTATCTCACAGCCACAGATCTTGCAAGAGATAAAACCAAACCATGATCTCAGTCCTAAAGACTATCAATGATTCAGAGTAGGGTTTTTCTATGATTAGAATCCACAACTGTTCAAATGGATCTCAGATCAACAAAAGGTTAAGAATCTCTCTTGTGGTATATTCAAGACCGTTTAATACCTGTAGCCTTACACATTCAGAGCAACACAATGGCTGTCTTTTAACAATAAATTCCATTTACATACTTTTGTGCTCAGAAAAATTAATCTCCAACAGTGTAGTGATTGCTGTTACTCTCAGGTAACTGACGAAGAAGCAAAGACTCACGGAGATTATGACTTGTCAAAGACCTGTAGGGATTCTGACTTGGCTCTTCCGATCCCACTTCTCTTGCTGGAGCCCCCACATTCAGAAATCCAAATCCCAGACAGGGCTGGTCCTAATGTTCCCTGAGAATCGGAGGGCAGATATAGCTTTCTACCTCCTGGTCCTTTATGGGGTGGACTCATCCCAGTTCTCGCGAGTCTCTGAGAGCTGGCCTGCTTCTCATCCCTAGCAATAGCGTCCTCAGGAGGGTCTCGAAGAATCTGCGAAGACTGACAGCAAGGATGCGGGACCCTGGCGGCCGTGCCCGCGGAGATCCCGCCCCCAAGTGTCAGCCAGAACAACCTTCACACCGCGGGAAACCGAGTCCTGGGGACACTTACCGCCTTCATCTTTAGGCCTGAACGCCCAGTTCAGCCGGGCCAGCGGTGATCCAGGGCCCAAGGCGAGTACCACACGTGCACAAGCCTCCCTTCCAAACCCGGAAGTTACCTCCGGCCTTTCCGGCCCTTCCGCCGCCGGAAACGGGAGGCGGGACTTCCGGAGGCACGCTCTGGCGCACGCCCCCTCGTGGTGAAGGCTTCCAGACCGTGAGCTCGAGGCTTTCCGCCGTGCGTGAGCGCGCGCCGTCACAGCCCGCGGAACGGACGCTTCACAAGGTTTTTTGACCGAGTCTTTGACTCTTGCAGTTTTCTTTTTTACCCGCGCGCATGCGTGTGCCTGTGTGTGTGTGCATGTGTGTGTGCGTATGTGTGTACCAGGACCGGCGCTTGAACTCAGGGACTGGGCTTTCGCTGTCATTTAGCTTTTTCCACTCGAAATGTGGCGCTCTACCACTTGAGCCACACTTCCAATTCTGGCTTTTCGGTGGTTAATTGGAGATACGAGTTTCACAGAATTCCATGCCCAGACTGGCTTTGAACCACGATCCTCGTATCTCTGAGCCTCTGGAGTAGCTAGGATTTACAGGCTTGAGGCATGCCCAGCCCAAGTCTTGTACTGTTCTTGCTGGAGCATGAAAAGGCGCTGTTTCAGTCCCTTACTGCATTTAGTGCCTCTGCTCATGGTGTTCCTCTTATCCTTACAGATGCTGATTTTTTTCAGTTCCTTTTCTCCCTAAAGTCTTTAGGGCAGAAAGAAATTTGTAGCTTGTGTTTGATGCCTGTCCCTCCCTGGTCATATTTTTGTGGTGAGGAATGTTTTTTTTTTTACTTCTTGTCAATCAAAAGTATGATTCTGGCTAGCTTGCCTAAACCTGTAATCTTAACTACTTGGAAGGTGGAGCTCCAGGGATCAAGAACCAGCCAAACTATAAAAGTTGGACTGAGAGGCTCCTTTTTAACCCGTGGTGGCTGTTAACCTAGCTGTGGAGAAAGCAATGGTTGGGATTAGGGGCGTGCACCTGTCATTTCACAAGAAGGAAGACCTCATCCTAAGCCTACCCAGGCCTAAAAACAGCAAGACCCGGAAAATAACCAACAGAAAAAGCGGCTAGAGGCATGCCTCGCTCAAGTGGTATAGCACCAGGCCCGGAAGTCCTCTAGTACATTAAAAAAAAATTGATGTTTTATTGTAAAATATTTTTGCTTTATTTTAAAATGTTATTGGATACAGAACTATATGAATGAGTCTCATATATACATCTACATATATCTGTATATTATGTGTATATAAAATTTTATTTTATTTTCTTGAACAGTCCTGTCATTATTGGCTTCAGTGCTGAGCAAGTGTTCTGGGTCCAGATAGTGTTGGTCTTAACAGAGGCTGAGAAGAAGTCCTGCCAATTTCAGGATCTAGCCTTAGAGACTAAGAGTCCCCTTCTGTCTGGCACTCTTTCCACTTCCTTTGTAACTTCCCCCTTTGTTCTGTCTTTCCACACCCTGTCTCAGAAACAGCAGAGCCTGTCCCACTGGAATATTACTTCATCATACAAATTGAAACCATCAGCCATGCTCTTCCCAAGTGCCTAAATTCCTTCCTAAGCATCAACATATCTACAGTCACTCCCATTCTTTCAGCCTTCTAGTCTTTCCAAGTATGATGCAGCTCAGATCATTCCTGTTCAGCTCCTCCTAGTTTTAGACTCTTGTATCCTTATTTGTTCCTTCTTTTCTACATTTGTTCCCTCACCCTTTCCTTAATAGATCCTTTCCCTAGCCTGTTAACTTGTTCAAATCTCTTCAAACTTAAGTTAAAAAAAAAACAACCAAAACCTTTTCTTCCTTTAATTTTTATTTATAGTCTTCCTTTCAGGAAAAAAAAGCATTATTCTTCCAGTGTCTACATTTCCTCTTCTGTATTATCATAACCAAGTCTGAGCTAAGCATATGAAATGCATCATATCTTGGCTAATTGAAGTTTATAATCAACTACAAATCTCTGGATCATTTTTAAGCATTTGTTGCCAAACTAAATTCTCCCATCTTCAGTTTGAGCAGCTTATTGTTTGAAAGAAGACTTAAAAATGGGAGTTCCCATGATTTCTACTTAGTCTCATTGGTTTCTTAGTTTTGTCCTTTCCAGCTGTGTCATCTTCTCATCAGTGAGTCTGCTAAGCCCAGTTTGTGTTCCATAGCTTCCTGGATCCTTCAGAGATTTGCTGAACACAAGCTGATAGACATCACTAGGCTCTCCCAAATTATAGGAATTGTACTCAGAGATTCCTGTGTGTCTTTTCTGGAGGTTTATTAACAACACACAGTGAAAAAAAACCAAACACAAAAAACACATTAGCATTCCACTAAAACTGAACATTGAGGTCACTGAGAAACTCCAAACTAGTATGGACATTTTCTAAATGTACATTGAATTGCATCATTTCTCTCTTTTGTAACCTTGCTAGGTCTCTCTGCTGCATTTGATGCCACACCTTTCTCCTGATTTACTAGAACATTTACTCCCTGGGTTCCTCTAACTACCTCTTGCCCTGGTTCTCCTTCTGCCTCTGTTCCTTCTTCTTCAAGTCTCTTTGGTGTAGGAGTTGCTCCAGGTTCTACTCCTGGCCCACTTTTCTTCTTTTCTTATTCTTATTCACTTTTCTTATTCTACATGCTTGTCTAGCATGATCTCATCCATCTAGTGAAAGAGATATTTGTCTATCCCATATCTCTCCTCTAAACTCAAGTCTTGTAATCACCAGCCTCTTGAACATCTCCACATAGTAACTGTGAGAATTCAGATCACCATATTGAAATCAGGTGTCATGATAAATGCCTGTAATCCCAACACTAAGGATGCTGAGTCTGTGTTCAAAAATATTTTTTTTCTCCCTTCTAGCTCTTCAACATTCCCTGGTTCACTAAGTCACCCACAGCTAAAATCTGGATGTTCTAGAGATCTTTAGGAATAAGCGAGGACTTTCTTGACTATTCACCATATTATAATTGTATTTTCTATAAACATGCATGTTTGAAAACTGCCATTAAGTTAACATGGTACAAAAGGCTGGTGTTCTAATCCTACAAGATAGTTTTTATAAGTTATTGTAATATCCATTGATGGTAGGAGAACTACCCATGAGTATCCCAAATTAGAAAATAGTGGCATTATTATCGTCTTGGACATAAAAGAGTCAAACAGAATGCTCTATACTTCACCCCAAGGCAACTTTGTGGAAACAATAGAGAAAGCTTCCATTTCCTCAAGACACTGTATAGGTAAAACCAAACCAAAACTATTATCTCCATAAATAAGTTGTGACTGGTATCCTCTAGATTTGTACAATAAATAATCCTATCTTATGTCAAATGCTTGACTATACTCAGAACTCCTTATGTTTCTCCTCCAAAGGTTTGGGGGAGGAAGGAATCTGGATCTGGAGTCTATTCAGAGCTTTACAAAAGCATTAGTTAAGGAAAGAAACCTCACCATCAGGGAGCTGAGAAATGTTTTGGGTGGTTTTTTTTGGCCAGTTTTGGGGCTTGAATTCAGGCAGGGCCTGAGCTGTCCCTGAGCTGCTTTTGCTCAAGGCTAGCACTCTACCACGTGAACCACAGCACCACTTCTGGCTTTTTCTGTTTATGTGGTACTGAGGAATTGAACCCAGGGCTTCATGAATGCTAGGCAAGCACTCTATCACTAAACCATATTCCCAGCCCAGAAATGATCATTTTTATAGGTAAATAGATACATAACTTCAAGTTATTTTGAGTACAAAATAAAAGAACCTTACAGAAAATATGCATGAGGGTAGACATGGAAGGATTTTATTTGGAGGCCAGCATGAGCTAAAGTTAGGAAGACCCTGACTCAAAAACAAACCAGGCTTGTTAGTAAAGCCTGTAATTCCAGTTATGTAGGAAGTATAGATAGAAGGACTGCAGTGAAAAGCTGGCCCAGGTATAAAGCACAAGCTGCTATATGAAAAATAGCTAAAGCAAAAAGAACTAGGGGCTTGGTTAAGTAGCATAGCATTTGCCTAGCAAGCATAAGTCTCTGAGTTTAAACCCCAGTACCCAATTCCCACAATGAAAAATACTGTGTACTTGAGAAAGATAATTATGGATAATCAAATAGATGAGATCCCACAAGTGCTAAATGATAGAGGCAAGCTGATTTAGAGAAAAGGATACAGCAATGCAGGCCTAACTGGAACCTGCCAAAAGGACAAAGTTCAGACAGTTGGGATAATGTTCTTAGGAAACACAGGTAATAGAAATAAGTTGTCACCTATCAGGAAATTAAGTTAAATAGCTTGTGACAAAGTTATTAAACAAATTAGTAACAAAAACATTGATGCAGCAGATGTTCATGTCCCATTTATAGTTCTTCAATACCTACATTCTATACATGCCAAAAATATTCTCTCTAGTGCTTGAAAACTTTCACTGAAGGACTTTTCCTGGAACCCTACATTGTAGACAGAAGTACTAGAGAATTTCCAGCTCTGGGAGTAGCTTTCAGACAAGAACAAACAACTTCAAGGATAAATATACTAATTATGGTTGTTCGAGAAGACTTCCAAAGATACAAAGGTGGAATCACTGGAAATTTATGAATTTAATCATATGTGGGCAAAGGTGTGGTTAAACAGAGGAACTTCTAATGGAATATTATCTAGATAAATGATCACTTATATCTTCACAAGAAGTAGGACACATGTCATCAATGCAGTAAAATGTGTTCTTACAAGAGAGAAGCAGAGAGAAATTTCACACAGAAGAGAAAAGTGTGGTCACAGAGATAGAAATTGGAATGCCATGAAAAGTAGATTCAGACTTCTGGCTTCTAAAAACTGTTCAGAGAATAAATTTCTGTTACACTGCACTACCAAGTTTGTGGTAAGTTGCTACAGACACCTATATTTATACAAATACCCTCACTCTTCTTCTATCTGAGTCATCTTCCACATGGCTTCCCACAAATTCACAAAAGGATTGAGCCACTCTGGCAGAGACAACCTACTCATTATCACACTTTATTAGTGACCTCTCCCCAACACACTGCTATCAAGTAGTTCCTCCACTTCCCTTCAAAAATGAAATAATTTGC